CCATCCCCCCAATTCCCCAATAAAAATCTTTAAAAAACAAACAAACAAAAAACAAAAACTGAAGGCGGAGAAGGACAAAAGATGTTGCATCACAAACTGCGAATCTACTCTTGGATATTAACACTTTGTGTGTGTTTGTGAATTCAATACCATTTTATTGACAAGAGAGAGCCCAAGTCAGTTTTGTAAGAGTATCCAATGATCAGAGAACTCCTAAGCCTATCCCATTCTCACCCTATGTTCTTTCCACTTCTTTGCACCTGGGTTGCTAAGCTGATGACGGTGAGATTAGGAAACATGAGGGTATTACAGAGAGATAAATCAAGATGCAAAGATCCTTTATTCATCTACTGTGAAGAAGGCAACTGGACAGCTTATAGGAGCAACATTCGGCAACATTTCTCAACTTCTGGTGAGTTTAAGCAGAATGTAATCAAAGGGCTTTGGGGGGTGGGGTGGAGTTGGTTGGCTCTAAAACAAAGAAATGGAAGAAGAGAACACACTGAACCTGTGGGCCTGGCCTGGGGCTGGGAATGAAATCGGAAGAAAACATGAGGGGAATACACCCAAACTTCCTTATGATGCCATGTGACCATTTAATAAGTGAAGCTTTATTATTACAAGGTCGCTGCAGACCTTGACTGCTAAATTCATTTAGAAGGAACCCAAGACGGGTCCTCCCTTTTTTTGTGGCTCCATAGAAAACAGTTTTCTGGGAAAGGAGTGATCTGGGACACTAAATAACCACAGAGCAAACAGGTTTTTACTCCCAGGATGTGCTTGAAAACTTGGCTCAGGCACCAAGAAGTTCTCATGCGAGTGTGAGGATAAGGACACGGAGAGCCAGAGCTGGTGTGGCAACGACTGCAGTGCAGTGCGCCAGCTTAACCTGCTCCCTCTGAGGTCAAAGTGTTTGCTCCAACCTGAAGCAAGGTACTTGCTGGATTTTTGTTTTTATTTCTTCATGGCTTTGGTTTAGGTCTTCCTTGGTTCTCCAAATTATTTGATTCTCTCTGCCTCAGCAGGACCCTGGGTGACGTTTATGGGCCCAAACCCATCAGTAGAGGAAATAGTACTCCTGCATCTGTTTCTTCCCGACTCTCTGTCTCTTAGTCCATCAACATTAAAATTGTCTATCTGCCCATATCTTTGCTGAGAAAGAGGGAACCGGAAGTTGAGGGTGATAACAGCAGCAGCAGAAAGGCTGATCCAAGAACCTTCGGACACTGCTTTTCCTTAGCTAGAATTTACGGTGGATCATCTGCTCTAGCTACCTACAGCCGAGCTCTGCTGCCTCGGGTCTGAGGAGACACTGATCCCACCTCCCTACAAAGCTATGCCTTGAAATACTACATCCAAGGTCATATAGCCAGTTTTGTGGAGAAGGAATTTGAAACTATGTCTAGTTGTTTCTAAAGCACACTCTTTGTTATATGGTATTACCCCCCAAAGGGTAATTTGACTAATTAGGGTTACCTTAGGCCCTCACGAATTATTATTATTTTTTAGTATAAGTAGGTACCATTAAGTATTTGGGATATACTTATACCAAAAAAATCTGTTTGTTGTTTATCTGAAATTCAAATTTAACTGGGTGTCCTGTATTTTTTACTTGGTACATTTGACAATCCTAATCCTAGTGGGCTCTCCAGATGAGAGAAAGGAAAGTGTGTGTTTCTTACTACTCTGAAAGAATGGGTAAGTCCCAAAAACTTGATGTAAGAAACATCCTTTAGTTATTCTCTGTGGGTTTGGCAGAGCTGGGATGTGTCACTTACTGGTGGCACTGTGAGAATAATGCTGCTTTTGGCTACCCACCAGCGATTCACATGGTCCGAACTACACTTGGGCGAGGCACAAACATTGCCTGTTTACCAGGGCAGGAAAGGGCCCACAGCACAGGAATTGGGTTCAGTGAGCAGAGGAGCTGGCAGCGCATTTCCTAAAGCCACTGAGGACTTTGTAAGGCGAAGATCAGCTGATACCTTCTGTATTGTTTGATGGAAGAGGTCACAATCTCACATGCAAAGGATTAGTGCAATTTCTTAGTGTACGTACTCACTCATTTGACAAATGTACATGGAATATGTACTAAGCGCCAGGCACCGTTGTAAATTCTGTGGCTACAGAAATCAACAAAAACTGATAAAGCAGCCTCATGGAGCATAGTCCAGTGGGGGTGGGCAGGGAATTAGGTCAAAATCTACACCATGAGCAGGTGATTCGGGGGCCTGGCGAGGCCTCAGCATCCCTGGCCCAGCTCCCAGATTAGTCAGGGTGTTTCTATTAAACAAGTTGAGGACGGAGGAGAGGATGAAACTAGTAATTGGGAAAAGGAAAATAGGGAAAAATCTTGGAGGCAAGGATAATAATTTAACATGATTTTGAAAGCAATAAGAGCAAGTGGATGAAGTTACACAATGTAAGATTTGAGGGATGTGCAGTGTGGCAGAAAGGAAGGTGGTTAGCACAGGTTGATGATTGTCAGGGACAATTGAAGCTAAGAATATTAGCATAAATCTATAATGGGGGAAATAAAGAAGTCTATGAAAACAAAGCTTCCAGGCCATAGATTATGGAAGGAGTTGACTCAAGGTGAGAGAAATAAGGCTATTTGGAAATTCTTTGGAGCTTTTCATAATCTTCCTTCCCAGGGTAAATATTATCGACTGTTGTGATAGAAAAGGAGAAAGGAAAAAAAAAATCCTTTAGCTTAGCATATTTATTTTTAAACTTACTTTTGTTAATCATGTTCTTGTATTTGTGTTTGAAGAATGACAATGTACATTTCTGTAGCTAAAGTAAAAATCTGGGAAAACCATGATTTGGATGGAAGTAAATGTCAAAGATTTCTGAGAAATGTGTGGCTGTAGAACCTCATGTCTGGATATGGAGTTCAATCACAAACTTACTACTTATTCACCCTGCATTGACTTCCCTGTGTGTGTGTGTGTGTGTGTGTGTGTGTGTGTGTGTGTGTACTGGGAGGTATTGAATACTTTCACAGGTATTGGTAGACCTGATTCAGAGCTCCCCCTGTCCAAATGACTACATTGTCACCCCCCAAAACTGGAAGAGATGCCTCTGGATCATGTGAGGATTAATATAAAGACGATAAAGAACAAAGGTCATAAAAAATGGGTCAATAAACATTTAGTCAGATGGTTTTGCACCTGGATGAAAAATATGTAAAGCTTAAATAATATGCAAGTGCTATAAAGACTGTAGGTATCATTTAGTCCCTTTTCTTCTCTTTACAAATGGTGGAACTGGTAATCACAAAGGGTCAGTAGACCATTCTAATAAATTCACATGGAAAGCTAGTGGCAGATTTTTTGGAACAACATATATACCTAGATTTTTGAAATCTATCCATTGTCAGTTTATGTTCTACTATATTGAGTGCCTCCATTGACTTACACCATATTTTCTTTCTTTTTTATTATTAGTTTCAGGTGTACAAAACAATGTAATGATTAGACATTTACACCCCTCACAAACTGATAACCCCCCCAATCTACTACCCCTCTGACATCATACATAGCGATTACAATACCATTGACTATATTCCCTATGCTGTACTTGACATCCCGAGTGCACCATATTTTCTTTAAAATCCCTTTAAAAAATAACTTCCCCCCCTATTGTGTCAACGCAAAATACTTAGCTCTTTATCAAGGTGCTTTTCTTTCCCAATTTGTAGTGAAGGTTTAATAAGCAATGTCCCTCATATCTTGCAGGATCTTTTTTTCTCGCACTGTGTAAGGAGCCTGAAGGAGCTCCACCAGCCATCCAAGGGCCATCAGAATGAGTGACAATACCACTCTGGTTCCTCCAGCTTCAAACCAGGGTCCCACCACCCTACACAAAGGGCCCCCCAAGTTCAAGCAGAGGCAGACTCGCCAATTCAAGAGCAAACCTCCCAAGAAAGGTGTGAAAGGGTAAGACGAAAATGAAATAAACTTTCTATTTCTTTTTATTTTCTCCCACAAGACTGCTTTGGTTTTAATATTTAATACTCACAATATTAAATAGACTTACAAAAATTTCCACCACATCTTCTGTTTTCCTCTTTACCACAATCTTTGCTGAATCATGATTTTTAGCCCTGGGATACTTGCTCTGTCAGCTCCCAGGTCTATGGCCAAATATAACATGACAAATGGAGGAGCCTTTCACAGTAACCTTCAACTTGACCTTCATGACTTTTCTTGCCCACTCTCTTTCACTAATACACCCCATGCTTTAATCTGGAATATAGAACCACTGGCCATTTCCAGAACTCACAGTTTATTTTTATGGCTTCAAATCTAATGTCTTAAGTTCTTTATTTTTCTCTTTTTTTTCATTGGCAAGGTCTTATTTATTTTTCAACACACATTTATATGTTAATTTCTTCTTGAAGCCATTACTGACTCTCTTAGACAAACATTATTATTACGTCCATGTTTGCATTTTGTACATTTAGCTATCATAACTTGTAATATTTTATATTATGTTTATTTTCATTTGTTCCCTGAAACTGAGTTCTCTCAGAGAAAATTTGTTTGCTTTTTCCTTAATGCCCTGTGTCTAACACAGTGCCTGGCACATAGTAGATGCTTAATAAATGCTTTTGGGTAACTAAATAAATGGATGAATTAATCATTTTAATGGCATTCACATTGCTTTCTCATTTCAATTTCTATTTTTAAAAGTGGAGCTTGGGGGTAGCTGGGTGATTCAGTTGGTTAGAGTGCATGCTCTTAATAGCAAGGTTGCCAGTTCGATTCCCACATGAGATGGTGGGCTACACACCCTGCAACTAGATTGACAACGGCAACTGGACTTGGAGCTGAGCTGTGCCCTCCACAACTGGACTGAAGGACAATGACTTGACTTGGAGCTGATGGGTCCTGGAAAAACACGCTGTTCTCCAGTAAAATTTCTAAAAAATAAGTGGAGTTTGACTAAGTTGCTCCACTGAAAATTCTTTTCAGGTTAAATTTTTACAGGGGGTAAAATATTTCTGCAATACAACACTCTGTCTAAAACCTGCCTCAGTGGCATTTTCTTTGCCCTAATTCAATGCAAACAAAAGGAGTTTCTCAAATACAAAACCTTAAACCTCTTCTTCTTTCTCCTTTGAGTCAGAAAACTCTCCACGTGAGTCATTCCAGGAGCCATTTGCTCTGATCTCAGCTGATTTCTCTTTTATTTTTCCCCATAGGTTTGGAGATGACATTCCAGGCATGGAGGGGCTAGGAACAGGTGAGCCTGTGAGACTTAAGTGAGGACTTTACACTTGAAGTTTTTCTTTTCATCTACTCTAGGCTGTAAGGGGCAGTTGAAAGTGACCAGGAAAACCTAAGGCAGCAGATCCTTTGAAGACCTAGAAATGAGGGGTTTTAATGTGACCTCCTGAGTCAATATGTGTGTACTCAGATACAAATACTCTAAAAGAAATCAGGGCAGGCCTGAAGTTTAATGATTCCTCTTGTTTTGTTGAACAACTCTTGAGGGAATATAATGGTGAATTGTAGACTTTCATGGTAGAAAGATTCTCAGAGTCAGTCTAGACAAACTTCTTTATTTTTCAGAAGAGAAGCCTGAGACATAGAGGAATTAAGTGACAATCTGAGGCCATGAATGAGGTATTGGAAACAAGGGTGGGGCCTGGAGAACCTTTCCACTCTACCAGGCTAACCACTCCCTCACCAGCTTCCTCTTTTTAAACACGCCCTGGCACCCCAGAACAGGACCCTACATGCTGAAAGGATCCAATACAATATTTTTAAGTTGCCTAGAAATTGTAGTCATTAGATAATGAATGTAAATTACTGCATATTCCCTTAAAAATTAATAGGCTTTATTTTTCAGAGTAGTTTTAGGTTTACAGGAAAATTAAGCAGAAAGTACAGTTTCTATATACCCCCTCTGCCACCTTCTTCCCCATGTACATACTTTCCCTTGTTATTAATATCTTGCAATAGTGTATAGTACATTTGTTACAATTGATGAATCAATATTGATACATGATTATTAATTGAAGTTCATAGTTTACATTCTTTGTGTTGCTGTCTAGCTCTATGAATTTTGACGAATGCACTGTCATGCCTCCACCATTACAGGTTCATACAGAATAGATTCACCGTCTCCAGAACCCCCTGTGCTCCGTCTGTTCATCCCCCCACCTCCCCACAAGCTGCTGACAACCATTCATCTTTTACTGTCTCTATAGTTTGGCCTTTCCCAGATTGTCATAAAGTTAGAATAAAACCGTACATAGCTTTTCTAGACTGGCTTCTTTCACTTAGCAATATTTATTTATTTAAGTTTCCTCTATGTCTTTACATGGCTTGATAGCTCATTTATTTTTGTCCCTGAATAATGACACTGTATGGTTGTATCATAGTTTATTTATCCTACTGAAGGACATCCTGGTTGCTTCCAAGTTTTTGCAATTATGAATAAAGCTGCTCTAACATGTTTGGGCAGGTTTTTGTGTGGATATAAGTTATCAACTCATCCAATACACATTTGAGAAATGGTGGCACTTACAGTCATCAGTGTCCTTACCGGGCCGTTCTCAGTGTATTGGCCACTTGCAGTCAAATGTCACTTCTGGGTTCTCAAATAACATTTCTAGCTACTTTATGAAGCTGATGTGCTATTTTTCTAAATCAACTGCTTCTATAGTTTGGCCAGCCCTATCTAAGACCAGAAAATTCACTTTGGACTCTGGACGATATGCTTAACTCTGCCAACATATTTGGAATAAAAGAAAGAGGTTTGTGTTGAGAGATGGTCTGAGGTCTTTTACCTCATTCTCATCTTATCTCTACAACTGTGTGATTTTTTGCTAGGTGTTTAATCTTTCTGGGTATCCGCTAGCTTCTTAACTTGTAACTTGGGGACAATAATATCTTATTACTTTATGCAAGGGCCTGGATTACAGGATATCCTGAGATCACCTCTCAATATGCGTTTGGATGTAGGCATTTCAAAAGGTGATGGAACTGAAAAGCGAGTCAGAGAAGCCCAAGGAACCCATAGGGATTGGTAGTGGGTAAGGAGATGGTGGGTTTTCAGACCCCGGGAATTTAAAGCACTCATGTCTCATTTTAAACCTCGGCTTGACGAAAATTCCATTTGTGTTCCCTCCTAGAGGTTGTGCTTTGGGGAGGCCCCGCATGATGAGTGAGATGTACCCCTGTAGGGTAGCCCCAATCAAAAGCCTTGGGTCACCTCCCCAAAGAGGACGCAGAATAAAACCAACAAAGATACCTGGAGGGGCATGTTCTGGTCACCTCAGGGCCCTGCAGAGTATTAATGAAGCGACTGTTCTGATCCTTCCTGGACTTCAGGGCCTTTCTAGATAACTTGCCAGTCACCTGGACAATGAACAGGAGAGAGGAGTGATGTGCCTCCACCTGAGGATGCCTTTCTGAGTAGAAAAGGCTCTCCGGAGCTGAGGCTGGCTTATAAGCTCTGCTTTCTTCTCTTGCAGATATCACGGTGATTTGCCCCTGGGAGGCGTTCAGCCACCTGGAACTGCATGAGCTCATTCAGTTTGGGATCATCTGAGGCACGAGGGGCTCGACCACTCAAAGAGTATCCGCTGTAACTTTGGCTGCATTTACCCTATGTATCTATCTGCCGGAGTCTTGAAGCTCAGTCTTGTTTGGAAGAGGTTTCTTTGGCTCACACGGTCATTTCCTTTTAAGTCACTATTCAGAGTTTTCTTCGTGTCAGGCTCTGTCGTGCAGCATAGTTTAGCTCAGAAGAGTGGCTGAAAACTGCCTTTTGTTAGGGCACTTCAAACTTTCCCACCTTTTCCTATCTACTGGTTACAAGTCATCAATATTTGTCTAAATTTTGTTTATTTGTTAAGTCTTTCAAATCTCTTTTTGCTAGGGAGGCTTTCTGATTAGTAGGAGACTTTGAAGATAACATTTATGTTGCTCCCCTCCCCTTCTCATTTAATAAAGGAGATCTTTACCTGGACTCTTATGATGAACTTGTATTAAATGCTATATGCGAATATCTGATGCCCTGTTCTAAAAAAAAAAAATTAAACAAAGAAGGCACAGTCATGCAGGCAGTAGCTCAGTGCATTGAAAAGAGCGTAGGATTGAGTCCAGTCCTGATTATTCTTTGTAACTTTGTAAATCACACACTGTCTAGCTCTAAATGTTCTTGAGCTAGGCGAGCCCTGAAGTCCTATGTGGCTTGAAACTGGACAGCTCTGTGTTGGTGGAAGCCTGGGAATCTAAAGTCAGGGCTCTGACTCTGTGGGCCTTCTTGTTAGTGCTTTGATTCAGTTGACCGAAAAGATTTACAGTATACACTACACTTTAGACTCAGATGCAAAGGATAGGTAGTGGAACCCTCAAAAACAACAACAAAAAAATATGATGGTTTGCTTCACCCCTAAAGTTGTGTCAAATGCTATGTGCACATAGCTATCTTTCCCCAGTACTTTCAAGGCAATTGTGCAATTCAGATGCTGCCTGTCTGACTTGGATGCTTAGGGTACTAGCAGGATTAATTTCTTCATTCCAGTTTTGTAATCTGTGGTAAAACAATGGAGTAAATTAACTGAAAAGAGAGGCAGGATGATGGAGAGGAAAGAGATTTGGTTTTTAATCCTGGCTCTACCAGTAAATGGCTCTGTAATTTTGGACCAAGAGTTCACCCTTTGAAACTTCCATTTTGCCTGAATTTGATAATCTAAGCAGCATGGTAGCAATAGTTCTGTGATTTGGAGTTCCTCAGAGTCCAAATATGGGAATTCGAAGCTCAGCACACACAAAAATTTCTTCTGCTGCAGGGTCTGCGCTATTTGCACAACTGACCTAGTTACCTCCTGGCCAGAAAGCTAGATGCCCACAGAACACGTCTGGGTTGGGAAAAGGGTAAGGAGACTGAGGAACTCGAAACCATGGGAATTTAAAGCACTCCTATTTCTCATTTTGCCCTGGGCCTGACTAGAACTCCACTCCCCCCCCCCCTTACTGGAAAAGAAGTACAAAAGGAAAAATAAGGTATAAATTCAAAAGTGGAACCATACCACGTGGGGAGTGTGGCGGCAGTGCAGGCTTCCCTTCCCGCGAGAGCTACTGCCTCCGCCCAGACATCTGCTTTCCAGTGAGCGACTCTGTTTGAGCACCAGTCTTCAGTTTCCATTTGTTCAGCCCAGTGTGCCTTTCAGTGAGGGAGGTCTGGGCTCTTCAGCTGGGTGAGGCTCTGGTCCACATCTGCCTTACTTTGCAAATGTTTCTCTAAACATGAAGCAATAGCATTGACAAAACAGGATGCACCCAAAGGAACATATCCAGTGACCAGGAAGGAGCAGGATCTAGAAACCATGTTAGTTGAGGAACTGTTGAAGGAACGGATAATATTTAACATAGAGGAGAAAATGATAATTGCCAGTCAATATTTAAAAAGTTGTAACGAACAAGATGAAGCAGACCTATTTGATGTAGGATTCCAGCATTTAGTGGTAAGCTACAATAGATGTAATTTAAAGCCCATTCAGATTCTACGATTCTATTCATTCTCCTTCTAAAATCCTACCATTTCTCTTACTTCCAACAAGAAACAAGAAATCCCTTATTATAGAAATAGCACATAAGGGGGCCGGCCGAGTGGCGCGATGGTTAAGAACTGGCTTGGGATGCCAGAGGGCTCCGGTTCGGATCCCACATATGAGGGCCAGTGACACTGCCCTCTACAGCTAAGATGCTGAACAACAGCTCAACCTGGAGCTGGGCT